GCGAGGCGAGGATAGTCGCGCCAGGAGGTGTCTGCAACGTTGCGAAGCTGGTGAAGAGGACCCCGCAGGCTGGAGCCTCTGCAGCCTCAGCCGGGATCCAGGGCACCTTCCACGCGGCGCACCGCCGCCGCCAGTGGCGGCCGCCCGAGCCCGCGGGCTCGCCCTGCGGGGCGGCCGCCCCTCGCCCTGCCTCTCCGTGGCCATTCGGGGATGCGTCGCGGGCAGGTGGCGAGAACGACGACGAGGACGAGAGCGACGACGAGAATGGCGACGGCGGCGGCCACGGCGACGACAACGGCAACGGCCGCTTCGAGCTCGAGCGCTGGGAGCTGCAGCCCGGGGCAGTTCCGCGAGCCCTCACCCGCGCCCCGTCGCAGTCTACGTCGACGCCGGGTGGGCCGGCAGCCTGGCCCGGGGCGCGGCGCGGGCCCCGCGCGCCCCGAAGGGGGGCGCCAATGGGCCCGCGCGTCGAGGCCGCCCATAACTCCTCCTCCTCCTCCTCCTCCTCCTCCTCCTCCTCCTCCTCCTCTCCTTCCTCCTCCTCCTCTCCTCCTCCTCCTCCTCCTCCTCCTCTTTTCCTCCTCTTTCTCCTCCTCCTCCTCCTCCTCCTCCTCCTCCTCCTCCTCCTCCTCCTCTGACAGTTCCCGCCCCCCCCTGGCCCAGGGAGCCCCCGCGCGCCCCCGATGGCCTGCTCGGCGCGCCCGCGCGGGACGTCCAGGCTGCGTTCGGTGCAGCGCCAGAGAAGCCGGCTTCCGGCATAAAGTGCGCCACGCTCGTTTTCTGCCTCGGGGGCCCCGCGCCCTCGGGGCCCGGGGGGCCCGTGGAGGGGGGGGGGGGGGGGGCCGCGCCTGCAGCGTCAGATTCGATCACGCCGCCTGCTTGGCAGCCTCCCCGCATCGCCATCTGCTGGCGGCGCCGCGTTTTTCCCGTCGCTCCCGTTCTTGAGCAGCTGGCAAGGCTGCGAGGTCCAGACTGCGGCCCCAGGCCGAAATAACCCCACCCCCTGCATCGGCGCCAAGGCCCCCCCCCCCCAGGACACTATGAAAGTCCACGTCGGCCTTGAGCGGGACGGACGCGCGCGTGCCAAGAGCCAGAGTCGCCAAGATGAGGAACGCGGTCGGTGACCCAGGCAGGGCCAATGTGAGCATCATGGGAGACTGCTTCCGCTGGCCACTGCTTCCGCCGGCCGCGACGGGGCCCGCCGCCGCCGCCCCAGCGGAGGTTCTGCCTGCATCGGGTCGCCTCTGCGCTGCCCTTCACCCCCCCATTTCTGGCTGAGGTTCTCCGGGGCGGGGGCGCCCGCAATGCGCGGGGGGGTCACGGCAGCCCTTTGGACTCGATGGGATTCCATCTTGCCCCCATGCCCCAGGACTGGTGCAGCGCGGCCCGCGAGTGACCTCCTGAAGGCCTCCGACCGCGCGCCCGCCCCCCGCCCCGCCCCCAGGGGCCTCGGTTCCCCGCGGGGCATGCGCCGACGCCCCCCCCCCCTGGATTGCACGGCGCCGCTTCCCCGAGAGCACCGCGCAGCACCCCCTTGTGCCTGGAGAGCTCGGCGCTGTTCTCAACCCGCAGATGCGCGCGACCGAGAGATTGGTTCCTTTTGCCGCCAGCCGATTTCGCTGGCACTCTTGCCAGCGCGGCGCCAGGAACCTCGAGTATCGGACTGCGCGCCCCCTGGAGCTGGCAATGCGAGGCGGTCGTTTTCATGAAGCATCGACATCTGCTCGTTAGGTTCCGCTTGTGAGTCGGTTCTACGACCAGGAGGTGCGCGCCTGGGTAGACCGCGGGCCCTTCGACGCGCACTTCTCCGCCCGAATGCGCGAAGCGCGCGCCCATCGCGAGTCTGTTCTACAGCATGATTACGCGATGTCTGCAGCAGGCGCCGCGAATCGCAAGTGCGCCGTTGCCTTTCAACGCGCGCGTCAGCTGTCTTGGAGGTCTACGGGGCGCCGCATCTCTTTGTATCAGGCTGCGTCGCCAGCATTTTTCCGGCGGTTCCGAGCGCGCCCGTCTTTCCGCGGAATGGTGGTGGAAGCGTTCAAAATCCACGCGGCGCGCTTTGGAGATATCAGGGCGAAGCGTTCGGGAATCGCACCTCGTCGACTGCGCCCTGGCCGATCAAGCGCAGCACCTTTGGCTCGTTCCCGAGGCAATGTTCTCGGGTGTCTTGACGTGGGAATATGTACCTCACTAGTTCCCGATGGGGCCCCGCGCGCGGCGCGGAAATCTGTGGGCGACAAATAGGTCACACGTCCCACTGCCAAGTGCGCGAGAGGCCCATGCGGACGGGCCATTGTCCTCATGACGTTAACGTTGCCCGAGGAGCCTTGCTGCCTGGTGGGCGCCCTGTCGGAGCCGACTCGGACGCTCGCGCGCCGGCCTGCATCGGGCCCCCATCTCTCAGCAGCGCCGACAGCAAGATTGTCGCCAGTTGCGTCGGCTTCGCGTTAAGTAAGGCGTTAAGTCGGCTGTGCGGCCTCGCGGCTGTCTCGCGACCTCGCTCGGTGTCGTCCCCGTCGGCAGGGCGGAGCTGGTTCTTGCAGACTGTCGAACGCCCCAAGCTTTAAGTCGGGCGTGTCCCACTACAGGGGGAATATTCAAAAATAGTCAGGGAACTATTTTTTGAGTATTGTTTGACCATTTTGGAGTAGTTTAGGGGTATTTTGTATTTTTCGTCGAAAATCCCCCTGTTGGGGGACACGCCCGACTTAACCCAAGCTGCAGACCCCTTTAAAGAAGGTGCAAGCGTCTCACCTGTGGCTTCTACACGACGAGTCCGCGCTCGTTCCAGCGTCGAGGCAAGCTGGCCCACTTGTTCTGCACGAGTCCAGGCCTCCTGGATGGGGGTCGGAGTAGCTGGGGTCGGAGGATCACGCCGCACCGCCGATGCATCGGCGATGCCGCGATGCATCGGCCGCTCTGATAATATAAGCCTGAAACGGGAAAGTTCCTGCGCAGACACTCGACATGAGACAAGAAAACACTATGGCCGCCGAGCGGCTGAACATGTTATAACATTTGTGACAGGGCATTCGGGGCCATCCCGAGCAGTACGCTAAAATGTCATGATATGGTGGCCAGGCAACCACCGCGTCCGTGGAACCACACAGAGGCCCATGGGCGTTGCACAAAACTCCGCCGACCCTGTCGGCGTGTGTGACATTTTTTCCGTTTGGGTCGTCGTCGTCGTCGTCGCCGCTCACCCTCTTGTCCCAGCGGCCCTCCTCGAGCGTTCCAACCGTAACATGATCGAGCAACGACGTAATCGAATCGAAGGGAGGCCCTGTCCTTTTGAATCCCTCCCCCGCCGATAGGGGGTGGGGGGATCCCGGAAAAGGGGGTGCGGGATGGGGTGGGGGAGGGAGCCCCGGGATTTGTGACCCCCCCCCGCAAGTGAGCACCCCTTTCTGGAAGAAACTTTCGGTCGGCTCCACGCCGGGGGGTGTGGGTGGCCCGGGGGCCCATGGGGTTCTGACCCCCCCCCCCATGGGGGAGCACCGTTCCATGCAACAAAAAATTCAGCTCCAGAGCGTCAGCATCGTCGTCGTCGTCGACCTCCTCCTCCTCCTCCTCCTCCTCCTCCTCCTCTTCCTCCTCCTCCTCCTCGTCCTCCCCCTCCTCCTCCTCCTCCTCCTCCTCCCTCCTCCTCTTCCGCCTCCTCCTCCTCCTCCTCCTCCTCCTCCTCCTCCTCCTCCTCCTCCTCCTCCTCCTCCTCCTCCTCCTCCTCCATTCCTTCCTCGTATACAAATCTTCTCCCGAGGCCAGTTTTGACGGCGGGCCCGGCGTTTCGCCTGAGACTTCCTCACCACTTGTGACTCTGAAGCTTAAAAAGTGGCAACAGCTTCACAGATGGAGGGCGAGTGGCTTTCAAGATGTGGTTCTCGCCTTAGCGCCGCGCACATTAGTTTGAAACATTTGCAGAAAGTTTCACGGATTGAGGGTGGGTGGTTTTCAAGATGTGGTTCTCGCCTTAGCGCCGCGCGCATTTGTTTTAACATGTGCAAGAGCTTCACGGATTGAGGGCGGGTGGTGTTCACAATGTGGCTCTCGCCTTAGCGCCCCGCACATTCGTTTTTTTAGCATGTGCAAGAGTTTCACGGATTGAGGGCGGGTCGTTTTCAAAGTGTGGTTCTCGCCCCAGCGCCGCGCACATTCGTTGAAAAAATCGCCAGAGCTTCACGGATTGAGGGCGATTGTTTTTCAAAAGGTGGCTCTCGCCATAGCGCCGCACACATTTGTTAAACAAAAATGGCAAGAGCTTCACATAGTGAGGGCGAGTGTTGTTCAACATGTGGTTCTTGCCTTAGCGCCGCGCGCATTCGTTTTAGAAATTTTCAAAAAGGTTCACGGATTGAGGGCGGGTGGTTTTCAAAATGCGGCTCTCGCCTTAGCGCGGGGCGCATTCGTTTCAAACATGTGCAAGAGGTTCACGGATTGAGGGTGGGTGGTTTTCAACATGTGGTTCAGGCCTTAGCGCCGCGCACATTCGTTTTAAATATTTTGACGAATGTCACGGGTTCCCATGATCAGCGCACAAGAACTTGTGTTTTGGAAGGATTTAGGATTTCTTGGGCGGCGCCACATGTATGTTGATGCGCGGTGTTGAAGTCCCAAAAACGGATCGTCAGGTCGCAGTAGTCAGGTTGATCCGTGGCGTTAGAATCCCGAGAACAATGTTTTGGCATGCTTCGGGGTATTCAAACGGTTGCCTTCCAACGAGGCAGCTCCCTCAATGGAAATGAACTGTTGTAGGGGCCTATGATTGGGAGTCTGGAGGGAAGGTTAATTCCAACATCGTTGATGACTCTTGGGTTTGCACTGGTCCTCCTCCTCCTCCGCCCCGCCTCCCCTCCTCCTCCGCCCTCCTCCCTCCTCCCTCCTCCCTCCTCCCTCTTCCCTCCTCCCTCCCTCCCTCCCTCCCTCCCTCCCTCCCTCCCTCCCTCCCTCCTCCACCCTGGCCGCGACCGGCGGCGGGCGGCGCCCAGCGGGAGCCCCGCTCCGCCAGCGCCTGGGCGCGCGGCGCCCGGCCGCCATGTGGCCGCCGGGCACCGCCGCCGCCGAGGGCCCCGGCGGCGGGCCCGCCAGAGGCCGCCGGCGCGCCGCGCGGGCCGCTCGCCGCCGCCGCCGCCGACCACGACCACGCCGACGACGACCATTATGACGACGACGACCACGACGACGACGAGGAGGAGGAGGACGACGACGATGACGACGATGACGACGACGAGGACGCCGACGCCCACGACCACGACGCTTACGACCACGACGACGACGACGCCCACGACCACGACGCCGACGACAACGACAACGACGACGGCGACGACGAACACGACGACGACGCGGACGACCACGACGACGACGACGTTGACGACCGCGACGACGCCGACAATCAGCATCATCATCATCATCATCATCATCATCATCATCATCATCATCATCAGCATTATCATCCTCATCATCTGCAGCATCACCATCGTCGTCAGCATCATCATCATCATCATCATCATCATCATCATCATCATCAGCATCATCATCATCATCGTCATCGTCATCGTCGTCGTCGTCGTCATCATCAGCAGCAGCACCCCCCTCTTCCATTTGGACGTTCCAACCTCATCCTCCCGCTTCCTCCTCCGCCGTTCTCCTCCTCGCGAGCCTGGCTGCCCGCTGCCCCCCCCCCCCCTCCCCTCCCCCCTTCGCCTCGAGAGGCGCGGGCTGGGCGGAGGCGCACGAGCCCTCTGCGGAGGCCGCCGCCGGGAGGCAGCCGCTGGAGGCCGCCCCGCCGATGGACTCGCAGGCCCCTTGTCATCGCCGTGCTCCCTCTCCCGACACCTCCTCCTCCCACCACGTCTTCCTCCCTCCTTCCTGCTTCCCCTCCTCCCTCCTCCCCCTCCTCCACGAGAACGGGGGGCTGTGGAGCCCCTCGCCTTCCGGAGGGTGTTTTCGTATGGTTGTCGCACTGAAATCGTACGCTCTGTTGCGCCTCCTTCCTGCTGCTCCTCCTCCTCCTCCTCCTCCTCCTCCTCCTCCTCCTCCTCCTCTCTCCTCCTCCTCCTCCTCCTCCTCCTACTCCTCATCCTCATCCTCATCCTCATCCTCCTCCTCCTCCTCCTCCTCCTCCTCTCCTCCTCCTCCTCCTCCTCTCCTCCTCCTCCTCCTCCTCCTCCTCCTCCCTCCTCCTCCCTCCTCCCTCCTCCCATCCTCCCTCCTCTCTCCTCCTCCTTCCTCCTCCTTCTCCTCCTCCTCCTCCTCCTCCTCCTCCTCCATTCCGTTTCCTTATGAATAATTTCTCCTTGTCGCACCCCGGGGCCAGTTTGTAGGGCGGGCCGGGCATTTATGACCCTGGAGCTTAAACATTGGCAACAGTTCCACGGATTCAGGGCGGGTCGTTTTCAAAATGTGGTTTTCGTCTTAGCGCCGCGCACATTCGTTTTAAACATTTACCAGAGCTTCACGGATTGAGGACGGGGTGTTTTCAAAATGGGGTTCTCGCTTTAGCGCCGCGCACATTCGTTTCAAAAACTTGCAGCAAGAGCTTCACGGATTGAGGGCGGGTAGTATTCAAAATGTGGCTCTCGCTTTAGCACAGCGCGCATTCGCTTTACACATCTACAAGATCTCAAGAGTTTCACGGATTGAGGGCGGGTGGTTTTCAAATTGTGGTTCTCGCTCCAGCGCCGCGCGCATTCATTTCTAACTTCGCAAGAGTTTCATGATTTGCCATGATCAGCGTACAAGTAATGGTGTCCTGGAAGTGCTCAGGATTACAAGGGTGCAACAGTTACGCTGGTTCGCGGCATTGAAGTCCCAGGAGTTGCGTTCTGGCACGATTCCGGATCTTCAAGACACAACAGTCAGGTTGATCCGTGGAGTTGGAATCCCGAGAACAATGTTTTGACATGTTTCAGGGTCATCAAGCGGTTGTCTTCCAACGAGGCAGTTCCTTCAGGGTCTTCCAAACGGTTCTTTACACTGGTCTCTCCTCATCATCATCATGCTCCTCCTGCTCCTCCTCCTCCTCATCCCTCCTCCCTCCTCCCTTCTCCCTCCGCCCTTCTCCCTCCGCCCACCTCGTCTTCCTCCTCCTCCTCCTCCTGCTCCCCCTCCTCCTCTTTGTTCCCCCGTGTGGTATCATATTTATAGTTTGTAATTATATATAGAATGATACCGGAGAAAAAAACAATATGATTTTTGTTGGGGCTATGGGGCTATAGGACTGAAGGGCTATAGGGCTATGGGGCTATAGGGCTATATGGGCTATATGGTTATAGGACTATAGGGCTATAGGGCTATTGGGCTATTGGGCTTTAGAGCTATAAGGCTATAGGGCTATATGGCTATAGGGTACCCGGGCACCCCCCGGGCTCCTCCGGGCACCCCCGAGCACCCGGGCACACCCACGGGCACCCGGGCACCCGGGCACCCGGCCACTGGCCACCGAAATCCTGGGGCACCGGGCACCCACGGGCACCCGGGCACCGGGCACCCGGGCACCGGCCACCGAAATCCTGCCGAACAAATCCTAACCCTTTAGAATCCGCTAGGACCTCTACAGAAGCAAACTCTGATTAGTGAACATCAAACACGAAATTGATTTCCCGTTATGTTTCTTTTCTGTTTCGGGAGGGGGGGCTGGAGGTCAGGAGGAGAAGGAAGGGGAGGAGGAGGAGGAGGAGGAGGAGGAGGAGGAGGAGGAGGATCGTCAAGATTGTCTCTTGCGCCACGGGGATAGCATTACCATGCTCGTGCCCTACCGTTGTGAGCACCGAGCAATCATGCGCGACCACAGTGGTACACGCTGGGGCAGTGGGGGGAGGCAGGACATGATGTATCGCTCGGATTGTGTTGCTTCTGCTGCTGCTGCTGAGATGCCATCTTCGGCCCTTCACCTACAACAGGACCTCTGATCTGTCTCCTCCGTGGCTGGTCACCGGAGCCAACCAGGCATGCCCTGCCACCTGGGGCGCGTGGCCGGGGCCGCCGGGGCATCTTCAACTACCTCTCCCTGGACACGCTTGCTGTTGTGAGCTAGGTGCGCGAGCTCGCCACTGTGGAAGTCGACGTACGCAGCGCCAGCAACCAGGCACCTGGTGCTGGAACTGCGCACGGCGAGCTCTGCGCCCGGCACGCAGGCAGAAGGGCTCGAGGCAACAGAGGCTTGGTCGTGCGCGAACGGGCCCGGCCTCTTCGGGCCCACCATCTTTACGTGCCCCACATCTCCGACACATACTAAGAATACCCGTGGAACACCATTCAACTTTGTGAGCGCTGCCACCCTCGTGGAGCGAGTGTAAGCTAAGGCTACCAGGAGCTCCGCGCTAAACTAACAGCACTGGCCGGAGCGCCCACCAGGGCGGACACTGAGTACAAAGTTCCACTGCTCCTGTGCTGGGTTCTGGAGTCCTTTGTAAAGGAGCGTCAGAGTAGACCAATGAACGCAAACTTCTCTAATTCGGCCTCAGAGATAACCCGGGTGGCCCCGCGAAGGTTGAATGCAGCGCTGTTGCCCCCCCGCCTACAGTAAGGCCTTCGCGCGGGAGATGGAGATGGAGCGCACTTCCTCAGCAGCCCACCCGGGACTGCGATTCTGAGCGGGAATGCTGCTTCCAGTCTGGGGAGGTCCTGCAGCACGGCTGCACAGGCCCGGGCTGCCCCACCGGCTGGGGCTGCCTCCGCGCGGGCTGCGCGCGGGCCTCTTGCGCGCGGCCTGTCGCCCCCGCGCCTTCCCCGGTCCCCTGCTGACGGAAGCTATGAAGCGCTGCCGGGCGTCGCGGACGCACCTCTGCCGCCCGCAGGTAGGTAGCAAGCAGGCGCCGTTTGTCGTCTTCCGAGGTCTATCGCACCCCTGCGGGTTCGCCTTGCTGCTTGAGCCACGCCCCCGAGGCAGCGTATGCCCCAACGCCTGCCTGCTCGCTCCGGCAAACCCCTGCCGCCCCTGGTGCGAACATGCCATGAGACAGACTGCTGCCAACGAGTAAGCCTGTTAGTGTTGGAAGCTGGGGAATGCGCCAGCTAGTGCACAGCCAACCATGGAAACACGAACCAGACTTCGCCCCGATGTGAACCACTCAGATACCTGCCGGGCGAGAGACCGCTCCACGACGGTGAAGCACCACCATCATGCAGCGCTAGGAAGCCTCCTCCTCCTCCTCCTCCTCCTCCTCCTCCTCCTGCTCCTCCTGCACCCCAAGGGGTGCGGTCGAGGTGCGGCTCTGTGTCTCACCACTGGCCACTGTAAGTGGGCGGCGCAGACAAACGGGGTCGTCTGCACGGACAGTCGCGCGTCAATATCCTGCGTATGGCCGGGCGTATGCGCCTTCGTTTCCAACATGGCGTGCCGCGCTGGCGGCCCGCGTACGCCACCGCATAAGGTCGCTGTGTCATCTCGCGTAAGACCCGTTTCTTTTCGTCGCCCAAGTCAGTGCGGGGGGGGGGGGGGGAAGCGTGCGTCTCCTGTCCCGAGCCTATGCCGCATGCTAGCCCTCGTCTTCCTGCCGGCATGCCTCTGTCTGCCCCCCTCGCTTCCTCGGCAAAGGCTGCTACTGCCACCACAGCATGACTGAACCCTATCGGTTGTGGGGCGCCTTCCCT